CTTTTCACTTATTGTCATACGACTTTTCATCAGTCCATCTGACTTGACTTATTGTTAAGAACCACTCTCCTTCCTTTTATGGAATACAATTAGATACTTAGTATAAATACGTCTTTATTATGTGTTATATCCATGCAACATCCCCAGTCTTCTCGTCGACCTTCCGGTAGCTCCGGTATACTACCGGAGCCTCCGAACCATCCGGTACCATCGGGTTTTTACGCAATGAAGGATTACTGAGCGTTTCCCGTTTATCCGTCTTCCTTCCTTTTCACTTATTGTCATACGACTTCTCATCAGCCCATCTGACTTGACTTATTGTTAAGAACCACTCTCCTTCCTTTTATGGAATACAATTAGATACTTAGTATAAATACGTCTTTAATATGTCCTGTACGTCAGATTGATAATTGACGTTGCTTGGCTCACTTCCCTAGCACTGAGTCGTCTCCGTTCTCTCCGGTTCCCTCCGGTACTCCGACTTGTCTTCCTCTATCGGGTACCTGCCGGTTAGGGTAGTCACTCACCCTTGACCCCCTGTGGTGTTGTGATCCTCCTCCGTATACGTTCCGGACCCTCCGGCTCTCCGACGCTCCGACATACCGGAGCCTCCGGTCACTCGGTCATTTACTCTTCGGGTCCACCCCGGCTCGGTATATAACAGTATTATCAATCTCACTACTCTGACTGGCAATGTCTCGTCTTCCTAATCCAAATCTACCCAACACGGAACAAATCGAACGTTCCAACACTGGTCGGACTGATCGGGAACCTCGTCGAGAATCCCGTATGTTCAGCCAGATCGTTCCGATGAGTACTCCGGTCCAAGTTCTCGGTCCGTCGATGTACCCGTCTATTCCGGTATCACCCACCCTTCGATACACTCCGCATTTCACTCGGAGTTCACCTGCGCCACCTATGCCATCTCCGACAACAATTCCGGGGTTAGTTCTCAATCCCCGGACCCCCGAGAATCCGGTGAGATATCCGGCCTCACCCCATCCACGCCGCGCTGCAGCAATCTCTCGTAGCGTATCTCCCATCGCTGGGCCTCGTATCGTTGAGGTTCCGGAAGATCCCCAGGAGGCTTCCGAAGACTCCGTACATTCCGGAGGTCATGCAGCAAGCCTCCACTTATCGGAGGAGCTTCCCGAGCGTGATCCTGCTCCTTCCATTCATGACGGGGGCAGTAACAACGGCGATGGAGGCGGTGGTGGCAGTGATGGAGGTGGTGGTGCTGGTCCACCGCCCGGCCCTCCCGGAGGTCCACCCGGAGGTGCTCCCGGAGGTCCCGGCGGTCCCGGTGGTCCTGGTGTTCCAGGAGGTCCACCCGGAGGCCCCCCTGGCGGTCCACCTGGCGGTGGCCCCGGAGGTCCCGGAATACCTCGGGCTCCTCGTCGTGTTACGACGCCTGAGGCCAATGAGGCCTTAATTATGGACACCATCCGGACCTTCCGGGATGCCATCAATGTGTTCTCCGCTCGTCCCGCGGACCTTCCTCCTCGTTCCAACCGATCCAATCTCCATAATCCGGACACCTTCGATGGATCGGACCCGGCTAAACTCTCGTCCTTCCTCACCCAGTGCTATTTGCACTTCGCGGAGCGCCCGCAAGACTTTCCGGACGACGATGATTGTATTCTCTACATCATTTCATACCTCCGGGGCAGCGCTCAGCAATGGTTTTCCCCCAACCTTTACGACCCGACCATCATTCCGGTCTGGGACGGCAACTTTGCCGTCTTCATTCAGGAGCTTACGTTAAATTTCGGGCCGCATGATCCGGTTGGGGATGCCGAGGACAAGATTCGCGCATGCCGGATGAAATCCGGCGACCGGATCACCACTTACATCATTGAGTTCGACTTCCTTTCGGTTTTGACCCGGTGGAGCGATAACGCCCTCCGGTATCAGTTTTACGAAGGACTTCCCCGTCGGATCAAGGACAACATGGTTCATCATAACTATGCCAACACCCTCGACGGAGTGAAGTTGGTCGCTCGCATCATCGATGGCCGGTACTGGAAACGCGAGGCGGAGAAGCTCCGGGAGCGTGAACGCGACAAACCCTCCGGTTCCGGTGGCGGTAACGCTACCGGAGGTCAATCCGGCAACCCAAAACCCAGTAATCGGAATTCCGGCAAGGGTTCCAAATCTTCCAACGCTCCCGCACCCTCCTCTACCGCTGCGACTGCCGGAAACTCCGGTAACAATGCCGGACGCTCCGGTAACCAGGGTAAAGGCAAGGCCAAGTCGTCCGACGCCACTTCTGCCGCTCGCGCCTACGCCGACAAGCTCGACGCCAGCGGAAAGATCAAGCAGGACGAACGCGAGCGTCGCCGGAAGAATAACCTCTGCATGTACTGCGGAGGTAAGGGTCACACAGCCGACAACTGCAACAAGCGTCCTGGGCAGGCTAGCGCCAAAGCCGCCCAGGCCTCGACCTCCGGTACGACCACCCAGGCTCCGGCGGCTCCGGCTACGCCGGCCGCCGCGGCTGCTGAGTCAAAAAATTGATCAGCAACTCGGAATCCTCCGCACCTGGTCCGAGTTGCGTTGACTCACGGGTGCTCACCGAGGTTCGTCTCAACGCTTCCGCTCTCTTCCCTAATGCCCTTTACGTCTCTCTCGATATTTCTTCCCTCCGGTTGGACATCTCCGAACCGGAGCTATGCTCTTCCATGTCTCCATCTCTTCTCTCTCGAGTAGTCGCGGGATTCAACTCCCGTGTGCGTGCGCTTGTGGACTCTGGATCATCTCATTGTTTTGTATCATTGAAAGTCTGCGAATCTAATGCGTTTTCCACGTATACGGTGGACCCGGTGCGGGTCCGGTATCTCGACGGCTCATCTTCCATCATCAACCGGATGCTCCGGTTGTTGCTCCGGTTTCCTTCTGGCGAAGTTCAATACATGGACTTCTTCGTCACACGTCTCGATTCTCCTTGCGATCTGGTCCTGGGATACAATTGGCTCAGCCGCATTAATCCATTGATTAACTGGTCCGAAGCCTCTATCACATTCCGGCCCGATCCCGTAAGGGAATCCCTGTCGACAACCCCGGAAATAATTCCGGGATCTGCTACGGTAGTTCCGATTACGGACGAGGCACCTCCGGTACAAGTCGTTCCGGCTCCGGCGCCTACACCGACTCCGACGATTCCGCCATCTCCCGCTCTGTCACGATTAAGCAGGCTATCTAATCGGACAACGCCTTATCTCATTATCTAAGTGCCTAATCAAGCGCTCGTCTATTTAAACACCAAGGCTATGCTTGAGTCATCAGTGATCGGACAGCCAGGGATCGGGTTCCCACAGGAACATGCCGATGAAGCACGACGGATTGGTGATCGGACAGCTGACAGGTGTCATGCTGCGGACATGTGGAGTATGCATGGGCATTACTCAGAACACATGGCTTCAGGATGTTTCTTACTCAGAACACATGGTTCTAGCATGTTTATTACTCAGAACACATGGTTATGGTGCTTGTAGCACATGGACGCTCTATTGTATATATTATTAGCACTAGTTACATAGCCACAGTTGAACAGTATAAGTAGTGTAGCTAGTCGCATGTATTTCTTAGTCTTTTATTCCATCATTCTTCGAGCCTCACTCTTACCTGCTACATCTGAGAACGCAACGTGCGACCTCTCAGACTAGTATTTGAGCCTTGAGCGTGACACGCTCCTTCCATGGAGATTCCGGAGGCCTCCGGGCCTCGTCCTCTCTCTACCCTTCCGCTTGTGTCTCTCATGTCTGCTGCGGCTTACCGCTCCATCATTCGAGACAAGGATTGTTGTCAATATACAATGCGCGCCACTCCCTCGGAAGAAGCCCGTGCCCGGTTTGCTTCCGCATCTGCTCCGGACACTTCCGGTATACCTTCCGAGTACCACGAGTTCGCTGACGTCTTCTCGGAGCAGGAAGCTTACAATCTTCCTCCTCATCGAGAATTCGACCTCAAAATCGAGCTCCTGGACGGCGAGGAGCCTCCGGTCGGTCATGTCTACTCCCTTTCGCCTACCGAGCTCGCTGCCCTTCGGGACTTCATCGACAAGAATTTGAAGTCGGGATTTATATACCCGACTCGTTCAAGTCATGGAGCTCCTATTCTCTTCGCTAAGAAGAAGGACGGTAGCCTCCGGTTGTGCGTCGACTACCGAGGACTTAATCGGATTACGAAGAAGGACCGCTATCCGCTTCCTCTCATCGCCGATCTCCTCAATGCTCCCGGGAAGGCTCGCATCTATACAAAACTTGATCTCCGGCACGCATACCATCTCCTCCGGATCGCTCCGGGTGACGAACCTAAGACGGTGTTTCGTTCTCGCTATGGGTCCTTCGAATTCCGGGTTGTTCCGGAAGGCCTTACCAACGCTCCGGCCGCTTTTCAGCGGTTCCTGAACAGTTTGTTCGCAGATCTGTTGGACGTGTACGTCATCATCTATTTGGACGACATATTGATCTATTCCGATGATCCGACCCAACATACCGAACACGTTCGGGAAGTGCTCCGGCGCCTCTGGAAGGCCGGACTCTACTGCAAACTCTCAAAATGCGAGTTTAGCGTCACCACCTGCGAATATCTCGGTTACATCCTGTCGCCGGAAGGCTTCCGGATGTCGCCGGACAAGGTTTCCGCCATCGTAGAATTCCAAGAAAAGGAGGCTCTTAGGTTCCGAAAAATGAAGAACTAAGGAGATCACTTCTACCGGAATAAGGGATACAGGCTTAATCGTGGACTAAAACAGTGGGATACTGAATAACTCCGCGTTCCCAAAAGATCAATGCACTCTAAAAGAAGCTTCATGGCGGTCACAGAATATCCATCATTATGCCAGATGTTCAAAAGCCGGTAGAGTTCCAAACGGGGCATCGAGTATATCTGAGCTTTATACTTGCGGCAGATTCGGTTGTAATAGCACCAACGGTAGAAGATGAAGACAGCGCGAACATGTTCGAAAAGTTCAGAATAAGGGAACAGTGTTGGGAAAATGGCTGAAGCAGGATTTGAACCTGCGACCTTCTCAGTTCATGTGAGATGCTCTAACCCGAAGGTTAACCACTGAGCTATTCTGCCGATAGTGTGAAGGGAACTCCCAGAAGGAACTTCAACAAACAGATGGCGACCAAATGGGGCAACTAAGAACCCTGGCCATCAGTGCTTATTCCGGATGGATTAAGGGAGAATACACGCACAGCTTTCATCAAAAGAAGAACTATGACGGAATGAGAACCATTCCATCATGTTCATCGTATTGCAGTCATGGGAAAGGCGAGTCTCGCAGGCCACGCAGCCTCTGCCCCATGACTGGAATAAGCATTCGCGATTTGAAGAAGCACAATGGTCACAGCGCAGATCAGCAGGAGGCGGGATTAAGGAGATATGACGTCAGTATAAGCGGGGATATGTACTCAAGTGTAAAGGACGCACCTTCATATCCTCCATCATATAAAGCGGGTAAAGCCGACAAGTGGCATGGCCCGCTACCGGTACCGTGGTCCTTGGAGGTGGAGCACATTTCTGAGGCAGCCCAAAGCTCGCTCGGTCGATGCTGACGCTTCGACCAGCTCGCATTAGGCCGCAGTATATTCACAGAATAACCAGCCTGGGATAATGGCCATTGTATTTGTTGTCTGAGAGGAACAACGATGACACCATTCTGAGTTGCATGGTGGAGACGAGACCTCATCATCATAGTCAGCACAGGGACAGAATATAATGTGAAGCAGAATATATAATTTAAGCCATATCATTATAAAGTATAGCATGGGGCTCAAGGGTAATTTTCGAGTGGGTAGATCCAATTGAAATATAGAGGTGCACAAACATGTAGAATGATGAACAAGGAAATATCCCTAAGGATGTTAGGAGACGGTGTGGGAGGCTCAGACAGGAAAGTGATCTGCGCCCAGAAGCCTCTGAGCCACAATCTGTGGAACAAGGTCAGACAACGGAAGACTAGTAATGGGAATAAATACCTGAGCAGACGACATCCACTATCTCATCAGCACAGCAGAGGGCTGTGGGGCAGTGTCCAGAGGCTCCCTTGTGTTTGTGCACAACAATTGATGACCAGAGGAAGACCAGACGTTAAAGTAAATATTAGGAAGAGATGGAACCAGTCACAGCCAAGAATAAGATCAAAGAGAAGGGCCAGAGATATGTACAGGTGGGACCTGACAGAATTGGTGCAGTCATGGCACGGAACTGGAAGACAGAGGTATCCAGATACGGCAGTAGACACCCCAGAAGTCAAGGCCGAATTGATGGACAGAAGGCACCTCTCGGGATCCGCGTTGAACGTTGTGGAAAGCGGGACATCGCAGAAAGTTGTGGAAGGGCGTCGTGGAAGAGGGCAAAGAAAGAGCGGCCATGTCAGCAGGGCAGTGGGGCAGTGCATGTCAAAAGGACCGGATAAACGGCTGTGGTGACACAGGGTGACACGCACATTTTGGCGGGCGGAAAAAGAGCTTACGCAAAAAGTGATGACGAAAATGTGATTTACTGCAAGACTTGAAAATAGGGCGCTCTAAAACCCTTACCTAAAGGTAGCGGGAATAAGACACATATCTCTCCTTAATCGAAGCAAACGGCATGGCAAGAGCGAGTGATGAAAAAGAGGAGCAGGTGTCTGAGGCCAAATCCTTTTTGACATGTTTGGGGACAAACATCATCACAGCCACTAAGGCTAAGATAAGATCAAACTATCTTATCCTAATCTTAATGGCAAAGATAGCGGGTTCGGACCAGATTAAGGGCTTAGCGAGACTTTGGCAAAAAGTACTCAAATCCGACCAATCTGGGTTCACGCTAAAGGAGTCCAGAACAGCATGATATTATATAAGGCCCCATTTTGGGGCCAGCGGCAAGACAAAACTATACAATACGGCTAGATAATTTTTGAGGCCCTACTTATTCTGTCTACAATGTCTGTGTAGATAGACTAAGAATAAGCAGTGCGGCACGCGCACGACTACGAGAAGACGTTGAGAGACCTACTCCTTGTCCTTGGGGACGGCACGGCTTCGAGTGGTAGGAGGGCGCGCAGGCGAAGGTTTGGAGGCGGGCTTCTTCGGCGTCGAAGAAGGCTTCGCGGTGGACGTCCTCGAAGAGGGCTTGGACGCCATCTTCGGTGGCGTTGCCAGCCTCGACTCCTCCTCCTCCTCCTCCTCGACCTCCTCCTCACTATTGGCGTCCGCATCGACGGCCTCAACAGACTCAGAAGTATCCCGGGCGATGTTGATTAAGGCCCTGGCGGTCGAGAGCGGGCGCGGCGGCTTCCCGAAGTCAACGTCACTCATGTCCAAGTTCTTGAAGGACTTGAAAGTCCCCTGGAACTGGGCCACGAGGTCGGCGAGGTGGGTACGGACGGCCAGCGACGAATCCGAGAATCGAGTGGCGAAGGTTTCGTCGCCGAACTTCTCGACGCAGTCGTTGAAGTGGCGGACCAGGTGGTCGAACGCCTCGGCGAAGTCGATGGACGCGTTGTTGTACAGAGCGGTGATGCTGGCCAGACGAGTCGCCGTGTGCTGGAACTGGTCCACAATAATCCCGGTTGCTGGGATTAGGAATTCGGAATAAGCAACGGTTAGGAATAAGGGAACTGCGACGTACTATGAGACGCCTCAGCGAATCGTTCCGCAAACTCCGTATGGAACTTGATGAGCTCCGACATAGTCGCCGTATGGCAACAAAAGCGGAAGCCCTTCAAGAAGCAGTTGAGGCACCCATGCCCGAAGGCAATGGGGACGCACTCAACGCGATGAAGGATGCTGAACATGCACGGTTCTTCGGGCTATCCATTGGATTAGTAAAAAGAATCGGAATAAGGTATAAGGGACTACTCACAATCAGAGTGTCCTTGATATCCACCTCAAGGATCTTCTGGACGTCGATCAACTCGAGGGACTCGAACCTATTGACATAGATGTCGGAGTCGAGTTGGCGGTACGCCGTGGTGGTCGGGTAGCCGGTAAAGAACCGGTCGGGCGCCAGCTGAGCCTTCTTCCGGACGAGGTACAAATAGATGTCGTCGGGGTCGCCGAGGTTGTAATTGTCACCGTCAAGGTCGACATTGAGTTGGACTAAGGCGGGCGGGGTTAGCAAAAACTCGGAATAAGGACACAGGAATAGAGGGCTCACCAGGAGTCCCGGCCTTGGCATCCTTGGCCTGTTGAACGCGGGCCGCGATGAGTTTCGAGATTTTGGTGGCGTCGGGGTCCTTGTCGGAGCGGGAGGCTGCCTTGGCACCCGGGGAACGATTACGGCGGTGCGGCGCGTCGGGGATCTTATTCTACGGAGAATAAGGTTCCGATGTAAGAAAAAGATCAAGGGACTCACCGAAGCGACCTCCTCCTTGGCCTTTCCCTTGGACTTCTTCCTCTTAGAAGGGCGGGCGGTCTCCTAAGAAGAAATAGATCAGGGAGGGTAAATGGAAAACAAAAGGATAGGGCTTACGGGGGAACCCTCGTCGGTCTTGGACCTTTTGGTACGACGAACTCGAGATGTCTTGGGTTCAGGAGCCTAGAGTGGGGGCGATTAAGGGATGAACGATTGTAGGGAGAAGCAACTTATGGGGGCTGGGTCATCGGAAGGGGCACCGGCGTCGGAGACGGCTGAGTCGTTGTCTTCGAGTTCGCGCGGATGTTTCTTGGTCGGACTAAGGATGAAAGGATTAGTCAGAACATGAAATAGTTGGATTAAGGGAAACGTACCCGGCGGGGACGGTGACATGAGCGATAAGTCGAGAAGAGGACGCGACTGGACCAGGCTCTGCTTCGGGCTCTGGTGCGGGCGAGGGCGACCTTGGCGGGATCGCGGGGAGGTTGCTCAGAAAAGTATGGATTTGGGCCGGGGTAGGGTCGGTCTGGTCGTAGTTGGCGAAGGTTTTGCCCAAGGGACGGTGATCACCAGGGCCGAGGGAGATCTTGGTACGGAGGGGAGGGATAACCTTGATGAGGGAGGCAGCCTAAAGATGAGGTCGGGTTAATCCAAGTCTAACAAGAGGGGCGGATTAACCACTTACATCGGAGGGGTAGATGTCCTCGTCCACGCAGAGGTCGTACCACTCCTGTGGGATGGTGTGCAGTCGCTCCATGATGCGATTGATGCCACCGTAGAACACGCGGGCTTCAACGCTGAGGTCATGGAGGTCGATATTGCGTTTGAGATAGCGCTAGGAAGGGATCAACAAAGGAAAGGTCGAGTGAGAGGGAGGCACTTACCAGGACTGGGAGGGCGCTCATAACGCAAGCCTTGAGTTCCGGGCAGGCATAGTCGATGATGGAGTCGGGGGCCAAGAGGTGAAGACCAAGGGAATAAGCCAAAGGGTGGTTGAAGGCGTCGAATAGGCGCGAAGAAGAAGAGACCTTGGGGCGGGCCTTGGGACGAGTGGCGGTAGGCTTGGATTTGGGGGAACCCATGGTGGTGGTTGAGAAGGAAGGAATGTGGGCGTTATGTTTTGCGCAGCCCTGGTTTAAGTGAGGGTGCAAGAATAGACGACGGAGAAGTTTTGCAAAACTAAAAGTTTTGATGAACTTCTTTGAATAGGGTGTGGGACGGACTAAAGATAGTCTCTTAAGCATATTCCGACAAAAACATACGGAATAAGCTTACCAGAAGCCTTCCGGCGACAGGATGTAACCGAGATATTTGCAGGTTGTGACGCTGAACTCGCACTTGGAGAGTTTGCAGAAGAGTCCGGCCTTCCGTAGGCGCCGGAGCACTTCCCGAACATGCTCGGTATGTTGGGACGGATCATCGGAATAGATCAATATGTCGTCCAAATAGATGACGACGTACACGTCCAACAGATCTGCGAACAAACTGTTCAGGAACCGCTGAAAAGCGGCCGGAGCATTGGTAAGGCCTTCCAGAACAACCCGGAATTCGAAGGACCCATAGCGAGAATGAAACGCCGTCTTAGGTTCGTCACCCGGAGCGATCTGGAGGAGATGGTAAGCGTGTTGGAGATCAAGTTTTGTATAGATGCGAGCCTTCTCGGGAGCATCGAGGAGATCGGCGATGAGAGGAAGCGGATAGCAGTCCTTCTTCGTGATCTGATTAAGACCTCGGTA